TCATTTTTAAATATTCAAATAGTGAAATTAAAAATAAAAAATAAATATAAAGAGTGAATAAACATATTTTTAACTTTTATTCAAAAAAAAAAAAGGTAAAAATTCAAAAGTTAAATAAAAATGAAAAGATAAACTCGTACATAAGTATATTAAAATGTAAATTTTACCCTTCAATCATATGCAGATACTATATTACTTACTCTAACAATCTTATGTTGTCTTTTAGGGTTATTATTATCTCTTATATACTCTCTTTTTTTCATTTTTTTATTTCATCATTTTCGTCATTTTTCTTTTTGTTCTTTTTCTATATCTCTTATATATACACCCTTTGTTAAGTAGTTCATAATTTTCCAACCATATAATCTCTTATAAAAAATATTTGTGGAGATGTTCAGTTTTATATCCTAAAGTAGAATTGGTTTCATGATTAATATGAGTGTGTAGAAACATCTAAAAACAAAGACAGTGCATCTATATTACCAAATATAAAGCTGCAGGATGTTTTCCATGTCATGAAGTTTATGACAATGGTTATGATATAATAACCCTAGTTTGTAGTAATTGACTGAAGAAATGTTTTTATGCATGTCTATCACATGCCTATATTTTATTAGGAAACGATTGAAAATTGGATATCTTTTGAAATACTATATATATCTTCACAGCATGGTTATGGCCTCTGAGCAGAAGCTTTGCTGCACTTCCATTGCTAGTTCCTCCAGACTTAGTTGACATCCCAGTTCTATCTGTAGAGTAACAAATAAACATATCTTACAAAAGACATGATGAAGGATATAACATGAACTTAACAAAAATATTGAAAATAAAATTCACATAAATATTTTATTTGAACCAAAGTAAACATAACTGCAACTTTATTTGATAATAACTACCGATGTTATTTCACTTGCTGTTGTGGTATGTTGACTTGAACGCTGTCACGCTCATCCAAATTTACAGATATTGTTGTGACACCGGTTGTGATATTTTGTGGAAGGTTTAGAAAATTAACATAAATATTGGACAAAGTACTAAAAATAAGATTTCAATAGAGGAATCTAAAGGTCGGGTGGAAAACACGTTAGGAAAGACGCCCATACAATGTCAGACAGGATATATATACGTGTTCTTTGGTTATGTTTTAGAAGTTGGATCACATTTGAAAAGTGGGTGTAAAATCCCATGGGTAGGTGATCAAAATCAAGAAGTATTACATTCAATTTGCTAATATCTTTCGTATCCTTTGACTTATATACTTTGTGTATTAAGGTAATATCGAAAATTATAAGATCTACCCATTTGTCAGAAAGCTATGTGTTTGGTTCATAGAAAATGGCTAGAACCTGGTTGAACTGTGCTATCAATTTTACTTGTTATGATCAATGATAAAAACCACAAGATTTGGGAATCTCACCGTTATATGATTGTTCTTGCGAGTGTATTTATAAATATATAATTATATGACTACTATATTAATGTTAAATACGAATTTATAAAACAATTATCATAGGAATAGTTGTTGTTTCACCTTGACCACAAACTGGTAAAGGACAGTCTCCTCCATGCTACTGATGTTCAGATGAAGAACTTCAAAGGAAAGACTTTCCAAAACAGTTATGATCCTTGCAACTTGACCCGGAATTCTGTGGGAAATGACTTTCAGGATCACATTTGAACCCGAGATTTTCACTTCAACATCCGCAACTGAAGAGTTGCAGCTTGCTCCTAGTTCCTTGAAAGAATTGGTCCCTATTATGGAGGAGCTATCAAGTTGATGAAACGTTGGCTGCAGTGTTCGTGGACTCGGACCAGGGCTAGGGCTTAAACTTTTTCTTCTTTTCTGGGACTCCAAAGCTTGAAGAACTTGGTGTAACTCCTTGATGAATTCTATGACACCCCCTATTATAGATGCTTGATCTCCCTAAAATAAAGGAAGAAGAAAAAAGAAACTCACTTCTAAAATCAATGAATCAGCAGCTTGGAAAATTGTATTTTTTTCTTGTTGACATCACAATGTTTTAGTGATGAAAATCATACATATATTGTTTCCTCAGTTTCTCTAGCAGTAACTCAAAAACCGATCACATACACACAAAGATTATGAAGAGGTAAAAAGAAAAGAAAGATAGAGGAAGAAAATACCCTTTTGATATAGAAACATGGGGTCAAAGATCTTAAAACTTTGAGATGTTCATTCATCTGTCTTCTTCTGTTCCTCTCGACAGCTATGTGAGACATGATTTGGTACTAGATAACTATGGCTGAGCTCTGTGTGTGTGTTGTTTTTAGTCAGTTAGTTCTTTTCACCACACAAATCAAAGTGTGGTGTATTTATAGGAGGCAAAGTAAGAGTAGGAGTCCTGAGAAAAGAAAAAGTAATAAATGCTATAGGTTGCTTTCCCGTGAAGTATTCTTTAACGTAGTTTGCAACAGATACACACATATATACACACAATCACTCTTTCTCTTTCCTTTCTTGTAAACATTACGCGTCTCACGTTTATGATCTTGCGTCAATTACGTGCCCTCGTGAGTTAAAACAGGAAGATGGTTATTTTCTCAGCTCTCCCATGCATTTTTATCTGTTCCTTTCCTTCATTCATGCATGCCTTGCCGAGGCCTTCATCGCTCAACTTAGTTGCATCTTGCAACCATGCAATTATTCCCAAACATTCAACTTTGATAAAATTCCATAACCTAGTCGTGAGTTTTTTTTTTCAAAAAATTATCTTCAAGAAAGTAGTTATAAATTTTAATGCAAATTATTTGTAAAAAGTTCCTACAAATTTTACTGTGACTATTTTGATTATATAGATTTTTATGTTGTGAATAAAAATCGATAAAATAATTGACAGGAATTTTAAATTATTTCATGCAATTTTTTTAAGAATATATACATGACATGTGTAATAATAATAATAATAATAATAATAATAAGAGGTAGGAAAATTTGCATATGATATTCTCTGTTAATTCTTTTGTAAATTATTTTCGTAGGAAAAATAATATTTAATTTATTATTTTTGAAATAATAAAAACTTAATTAATAAAATATTGTGCTATGAAATTAATTATAATAATAGTGTTAAATAACTTGAGTTAAGTTTATTATTAAAAATATTTTATTTTTTATCAATTAAAAAATTTCATTCATAATTCTTTTCTTTATTCTTCTCTCTCCCGTTGATACATGTATATATGTCGCACATCTCTCTCGTGTGAAAGTTAGGGTTTTTTTTCTTTTCTCACTATGTTATGTTCCGGTATCTTCGTGAAACTTTCCGTGGACGTTGAACTAACGAAACATTATGTTTTTTATATATTATTTCTCACCTATGATTTGTCATAAATTCTTAAAATAACCACATAAATAATTTCATATAATTTGATCAGAGCTGTTCGACATAAAATTTAATGATCAACTAAATTATCGTATTATTTATGCGTACTTATTAAAGCTTATATATATATATATATATATATATATATATATATATATATATATATATATATATATATATATATATATATATATATATATATATATATATATATATATATATATATATATATATAACAACAACCAAGAATAAAGAACATTAGCGGCAGATAATTCCTTACATGTGCGCTTTACAGGTATCCCGTGCAAGCACTAACAAAACAGAAGACATGATAACACATCATAACAAAATTCAAAATATCCACTTGCCTATTTGTTTATCATTATAACCAAGTGAGAAGCAAATTATTTGCCTAATTCGTCTCTTTTTCTCCATTCCCATTTTGAGAATAACACTAAACAAATTTTCCTCGCATGTTTTTTATTCTTTCTTTACTTTTAAAGCAATCCAACAAAAAAGAAGAAGAACTTTTTACATTAAAAAACAATCTTTGTTGACGGTATAAAAAACAAGTGGTGTCTAGGAGTGAACAATATAGCTTATTTTATTGACCTTCCATGGATGACAACAATACATGAGTGTGGGGTTCAATTTTTTTTTTTTTTTTAAATGATGAGTTCTGAGTATATTTTAAGGTCTAAAGATTGTTTGGGATAGGATTTTTGTAGAGTTAGAGTCTATTAAGATTTATAGATTGCTTGAATTTTTTTATTAAAAGGTTTTTTGGATTCATGCTCTTGCTGGAGGCTAACAACCAAATTGTACATAGCTTGACAAAGAATGGTTTGCAGGTAAAACAGTTTACACATTTTTAGTAATGTCTTTTCGGACAAGTTTTCCCAGAAGTTTCTAATCGCTTTCATAAAAGGAATTCCTTAAAATGAAAATAACTTCTTTTATTTTAATTTTTTATATATATAAGCTCTATTATTAATAAAAATAATATAATGGCTCCGATTATATTTTGTATATATATGAATCTTTATGAGATTCCCGTTATTTTTACAAAACAGTACCACGAATATAACTTTAGTTCTTTCGTTATTTTACATTAATGTCCATTTCAAAATATATGTGATGCATTATAAGTAGATATGAAAAGTAAGAAGAAAAGAAAAAATAATGAATAATCTAATTGAAAGTGTAAGAAATAAATGAGAGAGAAAAATAAGAGTAAGTAATTTTTTTTTATTGTCAGCAAGACAGCACATGATGAGTGTATGCATATCCATGTGTATAAGATCCAGATCCAGAATTCCATGCCTATTATACTAAAAAAAGTTATGGGTTTAATCTTCTAATTGAAAAACTTTTTATTTTAACCGTTGTATTTAAAAGTATTTTTTTAATTTTTTTGAAATGTAAATCTTAATTTTTATTCCTTTTGTCAGATATTAAAAGAAGAAAAAAAATATAGGTTAAAGCTAAAAAGGCAAAAAAAAAATGCAAAGACCAAAATATATTAAATATAAAAAAAATATAACCAAATAAATAGTTAAACATAATTTATCACATGCGAAATGTTTCTTTATTGATATCAACCATTATATATAGGACCATTATGTAAGCATTGTTTGCCAATAATCCACGAGCACAATGGCTTCTCCTACCACTCATTTCTCTCTCCTTACACTATCCCTTCTCTTCGTTTCCTGTATCTCAGAAACACACCATACACCCAAGCCTCGTCCCTTAATCTTACCTGTTGCCAAAGACTCAAATACCCATCTCTTCTACACTTCACTCGGCCTAGGAACTCCTCGACACGACATGGACCTAGTGATCGACCTCGGAGGACCATTCGTATGGTACGATTGCGACAACAGCTACAACTCCTCAACCTACCACCCTGTCCATTGTGAATCCAGAAAGTGCCCTGGTGATGCTGCATGCACTGGCTGCACCAGTGGCCCTTTCAAACCAGGTTGCTCCAATGATACATGTGGAGCTTTCCTAATAAACCCCTACGCTGACGCTATTTTTAGCGGCGATTTCGGTGAGGATGTCTTGTTCCTATCTCACACCTCACTCTCTGGTCTTATTTCTGGTTGCACTCCCTCTGAGGGGAGTTCTCTTCTAAATAACTTACCCAAAAGTGGTAAAGGGATATTAGGCCTAGCAAGGACCAAGCTTGCGTTACCAACGCAGGTTTCATTGTCTCATAAGCTTCCTCGTAAGTTTTCTATTTGCTTGCCATCTTCAAACAAGAAAGGACTTGGCTCCCTCTTCATTGGTGGGGCACCCCAAAATGCTTCCAAGATAACTCTCTTCACCACCCCTCTTGTTGTCAACCCCTTTAGCACAGCTCCAATCTTTTCTGAAGGTGACCCTTCTTACGAATACTTCATAGTTGTGAAATCAGTCAAGGTTGATGGAGGAGTGATAAACATCAAGCCTTCCCTGTTTTCCATTGACAACAAGGGACAGGGTGGAACCAAAATTAGCACCATGAATCCCTTCACTGCTGTGCACAGTTCCATATTCAAACCCCTTGTGAGAGAATTTTCCAAGAAGGCTGTTGATAGAAAGATGAGAAAAGTGGCACCAGTGGCACCGTTTGGGGCGTGTTTTGATTTCAGCACCATTGGTAGGACCATTACTGGACTGGATGCGCCTACTATTGAGTTAGAGTTGGAAGGGGGAGTAAAGTGGACAATTTATGGTGGCAATTCACTGGTATTGGTGAACAAAAAGGTGGCATGCCTTGCATTTGTGGACGGTGGAAAAGATGCAAAGACATCGGTTGTTATTGGGGGTCATCTCTTGGAGGACAACCTTGTGGAGTTTGATTTGGTTTCCTCCAAACTAAGCTTCAGCTCTTCCCTACTGCTTCATAATGCCAGATGTTCCCACTTCAGAGCCTAATTTTCTTTCCCAAACTGGGTTTGATCATGAGTTTAATTAACTTCTAAGTTCTATCGTTTCACTTCCCTTTCTGTTTACGTTAATAAGGGCCTGTACGTTCGAGAAAATTAATGATATATAATTTCCTTTGAGTGGTTTCAAAACTTGAGCTATTTGTTTTGATCTTGATGATAAAGAAGACATAATGTAGTTTATATTTTGTCACAAACATAAATAAATCTTATCTCTTTGTATCTATTTTATGATATTATCTAATTAGTATTCTTTAATTAACAGGGATCTTTTTTTTTTTTTTTCCTTCAACTCTATATTAATATCAAGTTTCACTTGACTAAGAGATAGACAAAAAATTGAAATACAACTTTAAGTAATGAAAGATAGCTTAAAAAGACAATAGCTAGAAAAGTAGAGAATGAGATGAAACAATGTTTTGGTTAGAAAATGTTCCTAACTAAAAAAATATGTTAGTATATTTCTTATATAGCACTTCCATATTATAACAATTGATCGATTTTTACCCTTTTTTCATATTATCATGATGCATGTGGTATATTATTTGGTATTATAGTTCAATTCATTTGATGTTATGATTTTCATACTAGTTCCAACATTCCAAACTCTACTATAGATATGGATAACATTTTATAAATTACGCACATGTTTTATAATTTTAGTTACTGAAATTATTTTTCTTTTCACCATACAACAGTATAGTACATTGAGAATAAATGTTTAAAATCACATACATCGCAATAGTGCATTGAGAATAAATGTTTAGAAATCACAAGCAAACAAAACAGAAAGATTGATTCTTTTGCTTATATACTTTAAATAATTTAAATATATTAATCATAATAATTTGACATAAAAAAATTGTAAACGGGTTATACTATACCAAAAACATTATCAAACTGTTTATGTTCTTAAAACGTTTATTTTGAAAATAAATTTAAAATTTGTAAAAATAATAATACATTGACAACTCTATTTTTATATGATTATCTGACAACTCTTTTATAAGAATATAATAATATAAATAAATAATTTTTATTATACCGTATAAAAATAATTACCAAATAGTTATTTGGGAAGATAAGAGTTGCCAAAAGTAATTTTTTTAACATAATTGTGAAAAATAATAATCGTTGAGTAGTGTAGAATTATTTTACTAAAAAAAATTAGAGTTAAAGTAAGAAGAATAAAAAAGAAGGTTTTAATATTTATGCATTCACCATCCAAACATTGGAGCAATTCTTATCCATATATGGATTAAATTATGTTTTAATTGAAAAACATTATATATACCAGAGAAATTTTCAAGTCTCCTCATAATGAGTGGAAACCATAATTAGCACTTTAAAGTCTAGAAACTTTTAAAACCACTATTACAATTTGCAGAATAAAAATGGCTAAGAACATGATAACCTATTTTTAAATCACATATTAAAAAAAGCTTTATGTACATATATTATTTAAACTAAGAGTGATATTTTTTTTTTCAACCTATCCTTTAAGAATCAATAATCATTGATTCTCATTGAAACACTAGCCGAGGGACTTCAGTCTAATTATTTTAACTTCAAATTAAAGTACATAGATGGATGACATAGGCATATTTGAGCTTATATCAGAGCTCTTTTTTAGTTTGGAACAAGAAAAAATGTAATAAATTGCATTCATTTCCCGTTCATAATTTATTAATGGGTGAACTAGAAGAAAAAGAAAGAAAGTAATTTTTATTTATTAAAATATAAATTTATTCCTATTATGTGTACATCAAATCTTAGTGTGGTAGCTCTACAATGTTGAAATAGACTTTGAATTATGAGAGTGATGAATAGGTGTGGTATAAGCAATTAGGTCATAATATGATTATAAACTATTAATATTTAAGAAACATATATTTTTATCACATTCATTATAAAAATTGACAATTTTAATATCTAATCATACAAAGTTGAGATCATAGACCTATGATTTTGTTTAATTTTTTCTGAATTGTTGATAACTTTTTGATATTTTGAATTTGAATTTTTTAAAAATTAACCCAATAACAGTTTAATACTTTTCTTTATATGAAAATTATAATTTATTTAAATGTAATGCACATTAATAATTTATTTTATTTTATATGTGTGCCTTTAATGTATAACTATTATTTGATAATTTTTTATTATACTTTTTTTAATTAGTGTGTGAATTTTTTTTTTGCATTACTCTAATTAATTATTTAAGTTCACTTTTGAATATTTAAAATTTTAAAACAAAATTTAATTTATATTTAATTATATTCTACTTACTTTATGCTTGTTTTTATATAATTTGAACTAAAAATATTTTGATAATTCATTAAATTATTTATTTATTATATATATTTTTATTCTTTTAAATAAATTACAAATTTTATACTTAATTATGTCTTCTTTTTCATGTTATTTTTATAAATTTAAATGATTTTAGTTTTAATTTTTTTTTCACTCACTTAAAATACAATAAAAACTTAAACTAATTTTATCATTGGATAAATATTTATATCATTTTGTAAAAGGATTCTTATTATTTTTATAATATTTTTATGTCATTATATTTTAATAAAAATAATTATTTTTATTGATGAAGAAAGAGTAAAAAAAATCAATTATTTTGATATTAAGAGAAAAGAATGGGTGAGATGTATGAAAAAGCAAAAAAAAAAAAATTATAATATTAAAAACATAATTAAATATTTAAAAGTTAATGATATAAAAAATATAGACATATGTACATAAGAGTTATCACTAATAATAATATGACAATATAAACTATTTAAAATTTACTTTAATAATTTATAAATGTTTACTCTAAAAAGATAGTTTTGCTAACATTGAATGGTTGTGTTGCTTGATAAGACGTGTTGACTTTGGGATCATGCTAACTCGCACACCATCCATGATATCTTATCACGTGTATGATATAGGATATAAAATTTGTAACTAATATAATATTGACAGTAATAAACTTTTTCTCTATGAATATATATATATATATATATATATAGAGAGAGAGAGAGAGAGAGAGAGATTCTTATTACTAAAAATCTTTGTGCATAAGATGCATTATGAAGTTTAGCTTCAATTCTTTTAAGTCATTATTTATGAGCAATGTATATATGTCGGCATACCACGTGGGAGGTATCCCAGATTGTAAGAACAGTACATGTTTGCATATATCACAACCCTTTTCATATTTGCATGGATCCTTTACAAAAGATCAATTAAATATTTGCAGATTTGCATGAAAGAAAGACATAAGCGTGGATCTTAAGAATAGTATGCAAATGACTTATAATTTATGCATACCAAACACAAATATAACTTGTCATATGAATCATACACTATGATGACAAATTTTGGGATACTATATTCCAAACATTGCTTTTAAACACTCACCACATTTATTAGTATCAGATTTACAATCATACACCATGAAAGTTGAAGTCAAAATACTCAAAACATACAGTGTGCTTCCTTCTGTGCATATTGTTTTATAACTATCCAATTACTGTTATGTGTTCTTACTTATCATGTTAGTAATTTAAATTTTTCCTTATTAGAACTCACTAACAAGGAGGATCTGTTTGCAAATATGTTTTAATGTATATGTACTATATTTATTTTTTTTCATATTACTTTTATTTTCATGTTATATTTTAAACTTCAATTTTTAAACTCAAATGAAAGAAAATAATCAGGCTATTTAAGGATGAATGATGTATTTATTTTTTAAAAAATTTAAAAATAAGTAATCTAAATTTGGATTTGAGATTTAAAAATATGAATATAAATTTAAATATTCTTTTAAAAAAATTACCATTAACCATTGATGACAAAGTTGTTAGGTACTGTTCGGTGATCAGTAGTACTTCACATCAATAGGCACAGGAAGTCGAATTAACTTTTCAGGGAAGTACCTATGTGGTAATAAAAACAATGTAAGATAAATATTTAAGACAAAAAAAAAAAAGGTTTCTCTTCAAAAATTTAACCGCAGGTTTTCAAAGGATAAAATATAAGATCATTATTTTTATGTTGTTTTATTAATTTCTAATAATTAATATTCAAACATAAAACATACTATTTCATTTTAGTTAAGTCTACTGGGGTGTTGTGTATAGAAAACGTAGGTATATTTAAGATTTGTTCTCTACTTCCTTTTAAAATTCTTCCAAATTAAAAAATTAAGCCATTAACTATTAATATTTAAGCTCGAGTTCAAATTAATTGGAAAATTTGTAATAAAATTTGTTTTTCATTAATTTGTAACTAATTAGTGATAAAATAGTAAATGAATAAGATGTAACTAATAGTAAAATAATTAGAAGATTAATATATTTTTAGTTATTTTCTTACTTAATAAAAAAATAATTTAGTTAGACATTTTTTTATCATTAATCTTATTTACAAAAAATACTTGTATTTTCTAAAAATAATTAATTATGAAAAATAATTTTGATATCTTTAAAAAAATATCAACAAAATTTATTTACAATTTTTTTAAATTACTTGAAAATTATTTTTACTAAATTTACGGTTAATATATATATATATATATATATATATATATATATATAAATTATTTTCTATATCTAAACTAAATTATTTGGAAATAATTATGATTTTTTTTAAATTATCTAAAAAAATTTGGTAAATATTTAAAATTATTTTTGTAACTTTTTTTATAAATTTAAATTTAAATTTATAGGGAGTATTTAATAAAATTTAAATCAGTAGAAAATTTTATAAATAATATTTTTTTATAATTTTTTCTTAGAAATTATCCTTTATAAGAAAAAAATTATTATATTTAAATAATTATTTAATTAAATATCATTTTAAATATAAACATCTTTAATATAATAATAAATATGTTTTTTTTAAATTATATAAATTTTATAATTTTTTTAATAAAAAACCAAAATTAATTTTCTCCCCTTCTACATAATTCTTCTCATTTTCAACTAA